CCAAAATTGAGACCATGAATTGCCAGAAATCACATTTCCACATTTTAGGATCCAGAGAAATGGTTGCAAAGTATGGTCCCTGCACCAGCAGTCCCCATATCATGGGGGAACCTGTTAGAAACACCTAGCAGAAACTCAGATCCTTGGGACTCACTCAGACCTACTGAGTCAGAAATTCTGGGGTTAGGGTCCAGCAAATTGTATTTTCACAAGTCTTCCAGGCAAATTGCTATCAGTACCTGCAATAGAGAAGTATGAAGCTTGCTCTTACCCTCTCTGATTCTCCAACCTAAACTGTGGATAAACTACAGGTGTGAGAGCTGTTACAAAACAATACACGATTTGGAGAACTATCCAAGGCAATGTCAGAGGAGACATCACAGATTTAGTGCCAAATGTTTCCCTTTAAGTCCCTTTTGTACTCCAAATCTCCACCACCTTCTGTTCGACACCTATTCCAAAGTTGTTCTGTCACTTTTTCACCTTTGTGAATTCCAAGCAAAGCAGTGCTTTTGAAGTTGATGCAAATAATAACTATGTATTTCCATAATGTACTATCTCTTCATAAAGACTTTCATTATATAGATCATGTTGTTTAATCTTCACAACTCTCCTATAAAGTTTAACCTACTGGGAAATTTGTGTGTCAATTTCGAGCTCTCTAATAAAGTCTCTAAATTAACAACCATTTTTTGAGAACAGACTATATGAGGCACTTCTATAGAAAATTATTTCTAACACTTACAACTCTGCAAGCAGTCCCATGACAGCAAATATACTCCACTTAAAAATACTGAAAATGTATTAAAACATATACCATACAATTATATCAAAATGAAACATTAACTATTCCACAAAGTATGTTAAATCCTGTATTGATTTAACATGGTGCTGTTTATTATTAAAAAGTTATGATATTTTAAAAGAGAAGCCCTCACCTGTCAGTAATGAGGGTAGATGGAAGAGAATGACAACTTTGGCTTCAAAAATTCCTGCTCTAAAAAAGTCTGTATTTTCCTTTTACATTACCCTATGCTACCTGAATAAAACATCTATTTTTTTCTGGAAAGTCTAAAGTTACATTCAAAATTGGGATAATTTAACAAGACTTGTAAGCTCTTTATATAATAATTCTTTTAAAACCCAGTAGAAGAGGTACCAATAAAATTCTCTCATTCTTGTAAATTTCTCTTGTTCCGGTTCCATTAGCTCCTCCTTGATGGGCAATTTCCATGGGATGCAAACATCTCAACCACATTGGCCTCTATGATGTCTTCATGGTTTAGGTCATTGACTAAAGTCATGTTTAACTGAATCCACAGTACAGCTTCAGTTTGGAAGGAGTCATAATTTTTGTGATCACTCATGGGACAGTTCATCTTCCATAGAGCCATCTTTGTTAGTAAATGGACTTCCTGCCAAGACCAGGCACTGGTCCAGGCGGTCCATGATATTGCAGACTCACTAAACTGTAGGTTTATATGCCTCATCAGTTCATCACAGAACACCTATACAGAACATCCATACAAATACTAAGCCTTGAAAGTAGCATTCACACCTCACTCTACTGGCTATAAAACAGTCTCTCAGATTATCAAATAAAGCACCTAAATTCACAGGTTGGCTTTGGGCATTATCTATCTGGGGCATAGAACCTCTGAACTAAAGGGCTGAAAACATAAATGAACCATTCTTGAGGCCTACTTATCACTGCCCTGGTCTGCCCATTAGATTACAACTTTGCTTTCAGGTTAGGAGCAGGCCTGGAGAACTCTGGGATTTTCAGAACAGTAGACAAGTAAACACCTCAATTTAACATCATCCTCAGTGTGGCCTCAAGTGATATGTGGCTGCTTTAACCTGGGACGCTATTTTCTTCCACAGAAATAAAAATCTTTCAGGCAATCCTTTCCAATCAAGCCCTGTCTTATCAACCAGCAAAGTTGGTTTCAATACAGGAAGCCAACATTTCAAGAGACTTGCAAGATTTGTATGTTCCAAAACTGCCATCTTCCCTGTTCATCTTCACAAACCGTGCAAACTATCCTTCTCTTGGAATCACATAAAGCATCATCTGTTGGCCACTAAAAATTTACGGGGCAAAGGCATGACTTCTTTAGACCACGAGTCCTAATTATGGCTCCTGAAAGATCATAGTGTTCAACGCCAAATTTGATTGCCTCTTAATCTCCACCCATACATACGCAACTGGTTTCCATCAGAATATTTTTGTGATAAATCAATTTACTAGCACTTAAAGGTATAAGTGCATGGCAATCATTAAACAAATATTTTCTTGATTTTGTATAATAGAACATAAAGGGAATAACTCCAAGTAGTTTTGCATTTTAGCCAAGTCTTAATCTTCATCAAACTGCCTTAACACTTCAGAATTTACATTGAACTAATTGATGAAGTTTCCTTTTGCACCTCTGGCATTTTTTCTCGGTTTGGCTTCTTTCCATAGGCCTACCACAGGTTTACTGCAGGTGTGAATATGCACTTCTGACAAGCTCATTTCTAGAACTTTAAAAAGAAGACTTGTAAATTTTGTTTTGTAATTTTCCCTCCTGCCTGGTTCTGCTCTAAGTTTGTTGCCTATTCAGCAAAACAAAAGGCATATCAACTTTTTAAGAAAAAACAGGAGGAAACTTAGAAAGTAAAATAGTACCCAGTGGAAGGAGGAATAAGGAAATAGGCAGGGAGGATAAACTTTCACAGTTATAAGTCACCTGGAGAAGCAAAATTCCAGGAACGAGGCTAAGCAAGATGGCCACCTGCCTGTGTCAAGTGTTCTCACAGTCACAGAAAATGTGGATCAATGGAAAATGTGGATCAATGGAAAATGCTCCATTGATGGCTGTGGCAACTTAGGCTGCCCTGTCACTTGTGGCAGCTCACCCACCACAGCTGGAGGTTCAAATCCAAGAGCTCAAAATCTTTTTTTTTTTGAGTTGGAGTCTCACTCTGTCGCCCAGACTGGAGTGCAGTGGCCGTTCTCAGCCACCGCAGCCTCGACCTGCTGGGCTCCGGCGATCCTTCCGCCTCAGCCTTCCAAGTAGTTGGAATTACAGGTGCACGCTACCACACCCGGCTATTTTTTTTTTTTTTTTTAATTTATTGTAGAGATGAGGTCTCACCAAGTTGCCCAGGTGGGTCTCGAACCCGCGAGCTCAGGCAATCCACCCACCTCATCCTCCCAAGGCTTGGGATTACAGGCTGAGCCACCGAGCCTGGCTCAAAATCTTTTTGAGGATCAAATACAGAAAAGCGCCATGAACAAAAAGTGGACATTTGCTTGGAATGACAAAACCATTTCAAACTAAACCTTAAAAAATTTTAAATTCTAAAACTTTAACAACACTATCAGACATACAAAAAACTACACCAAGACAAATGTGACAGTTTGGAAAATGAACCATATGCTGTACGCTACATACAACAAAAGTACTACTGTTTTCCATAGATTCAGATACCATCATTTCCCAAACCCATTTCTAAGAGGTTTAAATTGCAGCAAGACTAGTCCAGCACTAGAAAATATTTATATTGGATTTTAGGCCATTTTTTCTAACATTTTTGGCTAGCTTTGACTGTTAAACAGGTCTTTAGTAAGATCACAGATTTGTGGTCTGAAGAAGTAGACAGATGCCCGATAGGCTGTTTAAAACCAATTGTTAATTTAATGTGCTGAAATAAGCGTTCATATGTCAAATATTTGGCAAATCAAACAAATATATACAAAAAAAGCTACTCATGCTTTTCAGGTATATGTTTAATACAAAATATTTATGTAAGTGTTGGCAACACTGTGCATTGGTATATTTGGTGCTTGTATAAGAAACTTCTGTAAGAGTGATCAACCCTTCAAATACATCTTAATCTCATCTCCCTGGGTCTCAAAAAACAGACGCTATCTTGTCTCTAAGAATAAGTACACAAAGCAGTAGATAAAGGTCCACTGGCACTGGACCATCACCAAGGATGTTTTGATGACTGATGCTCTTGAAATATTTGTGTAATGTCCTTTCTCCTGCACTTGGATTAACTGAGAATTGCCAAGTTAAAGAAGTTATACAAGCATATTTTTCTCCTATTCCACTGTAATGCATCCATAAATTCTTAATTCTTGATGGCTTATTAGTAATTTTCAAAAGAAAAACAGTCTGCTGCCAAACTTGGCTCTGGAATCAGATGGGGGTGGGAGTAGGATTTGCAATGCACAGAAATAGAAAATTCCCATTGTCTGGAATGTGGAACTGGCGAGGCTTTTTTTTCATATTCATAGCATGACAGTAGAGAGCTTTCCATATGCAAGGATGATAACTAATTATGTTTGCATGAGTACATCACCATTATAGAGAGTAGAAAATACACGAAAATCAAGGCTAAGAAAGCAAAAGAAAAATAATTTCCTTACTGTATATTAATCCTTTCTTCTTTTTTTTTTAACTACATATGTGAAATTTTAAAAATATAGAGTCACCTATTATTCAAACTTAGGCAGAAGGAAGGTGGTCTGGGGGTGCTGTTCCTCTCCTCTCCCCTCAGTAGTTGGCAAACATGAATGAACATTCTTACAAGTTGGTTCACTGATGTGAAAATTTTCTTAGAGACCTGGGGCTCCCTTTTAAAATGCAAAGATGTTCTATTAAGAAATCCACATGTTGCCTGTTACCTGCTTAAGGGGGAAACATTTCCTGTGAGTGAAATCAAGTGAGTAAATTTAAGATACCTGGGAGAGCTGGGCGCACTGAACTTCTGGCAGAAACCCAGAACTAAAAGAGCTAATGCATTATTTTATTTTGTTTCTTTAGGAGAAAAAAACAATCAGCTACCAAATCCAGCTCAGGAATCAGATGGGGCGGAGAGCAATTTGCAGCCCATTGATAAAGCAAAATATAGATGATCTTAGAAGAATTTTCTCAGCATTCCCTTTAGCCAGAGTGAAAGGTCTAAAGAAGGGCAGTTGTGGTCAGCTCTGCCTTTGCTGTGTTTACCTGGATAGAGGTCAGGCCCGGGGCCTGGGGAGCGCCCCACAGTCCCTTCTGCAGCAGCGTCTCGTGGGGAAGTGGCTGGCTGCAGGGGCTGCACAGTGAGGCAATCTGTGAGCAGGTCTGGATGGAGCTCTGTGCTGGACCGCAACTAAAAGGAGAAAGCAAAAGAGAGATCGGTAAGGAAAGCTGGTCCTTGGAATACTTTCCTGGAAAGGCATTATGCCTCAAGACTTAATGCAACACAACCCACAAAAATTTGTCAAGCAGCAAGTACGGGCAAGGCACAAGCTTAACAGAGTGTCAATAAAAGGGGTCAGTTCTCTAGTCCCAATAACACTTGGCAGGTGCTTCAGGAAAAATGTGGCTAGAGGCGGATTTGACTTTAGGTCTTGATATTTCCACTTATGGGAACTCAGCTTCCTGTTATATTTCCTTTTATTTGCTCTGTATCTTATCGGAACATGTAGTGATAACAAAAACAAACTCAAGTAGATTTAGTCCATATTGGAAAGTGCTTTTAAAACACAGAGATACTGTCATGAAAATATCCCGAAGATAATTAAGAAATGTCCATTGAGATTTAACTACTATAGATTTTACATGAAAAGAAAATACTCAAGTTAAATTTTAAAATATGATGGAACATAATGAAAAGAAAAGCCAATGTCATTAACAGCAACAAAAACTCAACAGTAATTTATATAAAAACAAAACAATTTAGGTCTTATACGGTAAAAAGTTACATGTTAAAAACATCAAACCATAAAAATGTTAGAATAAAGTGTAGGTGAAAAGTTATCTGATTTCTATATGGATAAGAATTTTGTAAGTATAATTCAAGTAGAAAAATTAACAGTGGAAGATTTAGTGACATAAAATATCAACCTTTTGCTTTTACAAAATCATTATACTTTTAAAACAATCTAGAAATATATTTGTTACAAGTATTGCAAATGGCTGTCATTTTCAAAATTTAGAGTATATAAATAGATTTTATAAAGATAAGACTAGGCCGAGCGCAGTGTCTCACACCTGTAATTCCAGCACTTTGGAAGGCTAAGGTGGGAGAATCCTTTGAGCCTAGGGGTTTGAGACCAGCATGAGCAACGTAGTGAGACCCTGTCTCTACAAAAAATAAAAATATTCGCCAGGCATGGTGGCACACGCCTTTAGTCTAAGCTACTTGGTAGACTGAGACAAGACGATCACCTGAGTCTACACACACACAACGTCAGTACGTTACTATTTAGAAAGCAGTATTTCTTGACTCTCCAAAAAAGCTTCATAAAGAGATATATACGCCTAGGTCTTAGTCACTGAATATGAAATGGCACAGTGACTGTACATACAGGGAAAGGGCATTTAGCACATATAGTGAATGAGACATAATCTTGTAATTTCCTCAGCTTTGGCACATTGAAATCTCGGACGAAGACTGTCTGTGTTAATGCCTAACCTTCTCAGGGCCTTTGGAAGGTATGTTTATTATTTTGGTGCTAACCTAACACAAGCTGAGTAAGAAAAACTTGGGAAAAAAAATCAAGGCTTAGAGTAAGTTCTGGTGATCACTTTTAATTTATCTCCCATCATTAAAATATGATCTGGGGTCCACATGTTCCACTAAGGGCAGACATTAATATATCTCTGCTTTCTATTACCAACTACTCCAGGGTTTTACAGTTATCAGTACCAATGAGCTCCTTCCAAGGAATTTCATGGCCATGGTTACTCCTGGCGTCAAAGGCAGGCAATTCTTCCCTAGCTTCAACAAGTATTCATGTTTTCCAAGAGTGTGATTTCATACAACTTTGTGGTAAGAGTTAATTTAGTTTTCTCTGGGATTAGGCATGGTTCTAGAAAGTGCTTCTTAAATTGAACACGCCTAGGGGGCCTTATACAAAATTTTCAAAGGAGGGCCATGTGCCTAGAAACGCAGTAATGATATGTAAGTGTAATATTCCTCCCAGATCATTAGACCAGAAAAGGACCTTCCAGATCATTTAAAGGTTTTTAAACATGCTCTAGTACAGAAATTATTTAAAAGGGAAGGCAGGAGGTACACAGCAGAATCTTCTGAGAGGGGTGTTTTTCAATACAATTTAGTTTTATATTTGTAATAAAAAGTCCAACTATTTATATAAAACAATTACATAATATATATTTTAACAGTATCTTCTTAGCTGTTAGGGATATATAGAGAAGACAGAAATGTCTCAGTGGTGGGAGCATCTCTCACTATAATTTTCAAACCTGGGCAAGCATCAGAATCACCTGCAGTGCCCCACCCCAGACCTGCTGATACAGTAGCAGATACAGCAGTGCATTTTTAAGTTCTCAGGTGACGATGCTGCTGTTGATCTGGGATTACACTCGTAGAACCACTGATCTCTTAAGAATTTTGGTAAGGAGAACCTAAGATTTTTCTGGCTATGAAAAGAGAAAATAAATTGTGGAAACAGGGAATTATAAAAAGCTAATATTCTTTAACATAGAAAATGAAATATGATCGTCTTATCTTCTTTGATTAGCTGTGGTCAATAAAAATCTTTCTGAAGCGGTGACTTCAGGGCTGTAATTAGCAGATATTAGGAAAGGCCACTGCGAGGAGGGAATAAGGACAAATGCTAGGAATGTTTGCCAGTCATTGGACTTGAAGATCCTGGGAAGGTAAGTTCAAACTCATGTAGGGGTGAATGTATCATGTTTTGTATCTTGTCCTCATCATAAAATACCTTGGCAAATTTGTAAGAAGCCTCCTGGGGACATCTGGACCTTAAAAGTTTAGTGTTATCTTCTGGGAAAGGAATCGTTAATCCTGGAGTCCTTCATACTAAATAGTTATCATAGAAAAGATTCTTAAATTCCCTGTGCACACACCTGACTATCTCTCTTCAGACTTCATAATATTAAATGGCTAAACGAGGTTCATTTCTTAAAAATAATTTGGATGTGTATTTTCTTTCATAGGGATAAAAAAAGGCTAAAACATTTCAATCTACTTTAATACCTACTGTAAGGGGAGAGCAGAGGACTGGCCCTTTACAGTCTTATAGAAAGAAGTAGAATTTGAACCCATTGATCATCAGTGCATCTATTTTAAAGGACTGCTGTGTTGTATGACCTGTACCAGGGACTTCTATTCATGTTGTAATCTATGTGAATGGCACCCCTGGAATCATTCAACTTAGCTGCCCTAATCATAGCCCATTAGCTTCCAGGTAGCACTGCTCTGCTTTATCCTTCTCATTCATTCACTGAAAAAATATTTCTTGGACCTCAACCATAGGACAGGCACCGTTTTAAGGGTTTAAATACAAACAGACAAACATTCCCAGGGAGGAGTTTACGTGCTAGAGGAGGGAGAAACAGTAAATAAATAAACAACAAAATAAATTGTAGGGAAGAGAACAAGTGCTGTGGTGAAAAAGAAAAAAGAGAAGGGTAGGTAAGATTGGGAATGAGGGGCAGAATTGTGGCCTCATACAGAAGAGATATTTGAGGAAAGACTTAAAAGAGTTAGAAAAATTAGCTAAGTACATATCAAGGAGAAGAAAGTTCCAGAAGGAGGGACCTTCAAGGAGACCAGCATGGTTTGAGTGGGGTGTAATGTGGAAAGAATAGTAGAAAATGCAACCTGGGGGGATGGGGTGCAGGCAGGCCGGGCCACGCAAGACTGACCTTGCAGCCCTCAATAAAGACTTTTAGACTTAGTGCAGTAGGAAACACACGTCGAGACTCCACCAATTGCTTCCTGGGAGACACATCATCCCCTATTTATATCCACAGACTCATAGGTATTTTGGCTTCCCTACTTTAAGAGCCTATAAGAGCTGTGAAGTATGGATACTGTGATGGTTAGTTTTATATGTTAAGTTGGCTAGGCTTTAGTACCCAGTATTCAAACACTCCTCTTGGTGGTGCTGTGAAGGAATTCTGTAAATGAGGCTAACACCTACAATCGGTTAACTTTAAATGTAAGAGATTATCCCCTACAATCTATGTGAGTCTCATCCGATCAGCAAAAGGCCTTAAGAGCAGAGAAGCAAAAGTTTCATTAAGAAAGAATTTCTGTCACTGGATGGTAGCATCAGTTCCTGCTCAAGAGTTTCTAGCCTGCCAGTCTGCCATACAGATTTCTGAATTGCCAGCCCCACAGTCTCATAAGCCAAAGTCTTGAAATTAATCTCTCTCTCTCTCTCTCTCTCTCTCTCTCTCTCTCTCTCTCTCACACACACACACACACACACACACACACACACACACACACAATGTATTTCCGCCTGGTTCTGTTTTTCTAGAGAACCTTGAATGATACAGATATTATTATGACGTACTTTAAATCCACTACCATATGATGATTTATTTCAGGTCAGGAAGGAAGGAAAGTACATCATGCAGGCAGATCTTACAGAAAAGGGCTGGGGGTGTGCACAGTTAGCATGACGCACATTTAAAGACTGCATTTCAATTGAATAAGTGTATATTGAATCTCTACAATATGTTGCGGACCTCACAACTCTATGGGGGATAATTTCTATTGCAGAGATGAGAAACCTAGAATTATACAAATACTAAATGTCAGATGTGGACTCAGGTGTGTTAGAATCCCAAGTCAGGCACTCAGACGTTAGATGATACTGGCTCAAGAAATAACCTCAACTTTCTTTTAAAAATATTTTTATTTTAATTTTAAAGATGTAGGGTACAATTCAAGGTTAGGTATACATATGTTCATTACGCAGGTACCCTTGCTGATGAGGTGTGCCCCTCCCTCTCCTGGCAGTTTCTCTCAACTGCCAATCCCACCCTCCACTCCCCAGCAGTTTCCCACTACTGCCAAACTCTTTCTTAAAGTATTATGATAATAGTTGAAGGTCCAATTATGAGTGAGAACATAAGGTACTCTGTTCTTTGTTTCTGTGATAGATCACTGAGTATGACAGTGATCCATCCAAGTTGCTGTGAAGTCCATTCAAGTTGCTGTGAAGTCCATATGTTAGTCCTTCTTTATGGCTGAATAATATTCCATTACGCATGTGTACCACTTTTTTTTTAAATCTAGACCAGCTTCAATGGGCAGCATGGTTGGTTCCATGCTTTTGCTATTGTGAATAGCTACTCAACTTTCTCCTTCCACCCACCATATCA